TTCATTCAGGACTTAGATAAATTTTCTAAGTCTTTTCTCACTTGTCCGCTTTCTGAGACTTCCGGTCTTCAGTGAGTCTTCCGATTCTTAGCTGACAAATCCGGATGAGTCATTTTCAGACTTCAGGATGAGAAAGAGATCCGCGCTAGTCTTCCGATTAGCCTTCAGCGGGTTGTAGCGAGACATCCGGTTCTTATGTAGTCTTCCGGATCTGAGAATTTTCATCTGATTGAGAAATCCTTACTTGTTTCTGATACTTCCGATCAAGATATCCAATTTTCATATCACTGAATTTGATTAAGTTTTCAGGCATCAAAACGCTTAAAGAGATACCACAGTTTTATTGGAAATCTCAAGAGCTCGGTTTTGACAGTATTTCTAAAAAGAAAAATTACATTGAATATTGGGGGAGGCTTAAAGTCCCTAATACATTCTAAATACATCATCATCAAAATCTATAATATTTTTCCCAACAATTTCCCCCTTTTTGATGATGACAAACAAGTGTTTAAGAGTTCCGGTCGCTGTACTGAGAAGTAATTTTATAAATTTCTTTTAGTTTCTCATAAAATACAGCATGTTAACAAAAACTCTTAAACAAATACAATTCAAATTACAATATTTCCTAAACCAAGTCTTGTCTTGAGATTTTGTGATATCTTCCGCCATTGACCGTTTTCAGCTTCAGCAGATTCTGCTTGGCAGAGCGGTTGGCGTTGCGTTTGATAGATCTTTAATATCCAAAGTGGATATTTAAGATCTTAGAAGCAACACATCTCTCAAAATAAGAAGAAAGATAGAGAGAGAGTGTTGTTCCAGAGAAGGTGTATGGTCTAATACTGAAAAATACGAGATTTCCACCATAGACCTTCTATACTGCCGAGATTCTCACCATAGACCTTAAAAGTCTTTTCTTCTCAATAGGCTTCTTCCATTGCCGTCTATGAGGGTGAGATAGAAAAATTTCTCCATTGAGGGTATTTTTCTTGGTGTGTTCCTTAGACAGTGAGTTTGAGGACTTTTCATATTGAGGGAGTTGTTTGTGAAGGAAATGGATTGAGATATCTTGATTTAAATAGGGGAGGAGGAGGTTCACGGGTTCCATTAAGTGGGTAGTTGGAACGGTGAGAGTAAATGAGTTTCAACTTCCAAGAAGTTGAAAAGCAGAAGGAATCTTTTACCAGTTACCAAGGAATTGAAACTGTTTTAATTAGAAAAT